CAACTACAAAATGCAACTACAGGCAAAAAGCAATGCATTTTTTGTTTTGGCAAAAAAAGCAGTTTGGTATCATAAAGCAATGCAGCTTCGGCATGCACACACATGCAGCACTTTGCTTGAAAAAAAATGCAGTGCTCTTATATTGGACAAAGAAGTTCGGCATCAAATGCAATACAGTTTATCAAACACATATCATACATATAAGCGTGACAAAATGCCAGTTCGCATAGACCATGGTCGTCAACAAAAAATAAAATTATACACTTATATATATTGTATGAGTTATTGATATAAAATACACATACATATGCAAATTCATCCACATGCACTGCTGCATAAAAGAACAAGAAGAAACACAATGACGGAATAAGAAGTCTTTTTCATACATTATCTACCTTAGTCAGCACACACAAACACAACATCAAACCCTAGCTATTGTCCATGCAAAGCCTTTTGCACCCAGTAGAAAACAGTGCCCCAAATGACTGTTACTGCGTCTGCTACTGCGTTTGCGATTGCGACAGGGAAGTGAGCCCGAGGTCCGTAATCAGTTCACGTAACTCAGGCGGCATGTCTTCATAACACAACATGTTCAAAGGATTGAACAGCAGCTGGAACAAGTACTCCGCCTTCCAATCTTCAACACCAGGCTGAAAAAAAGAAAACAAATGCACACAAGTGATTAAAAAAAAGGTCGTCATAAAGAACAAAAAAGTGAAAAAGAAAACAGAGAAGCTGTTACATCGGATTTCAAAATTTTCTCAACTAGACGTTGGTTGTCATACAACTTCGTCATCCTCAGAACATAGATTCCGCACTCATTTGCTCCCTGCGTTGGCACGACAGGGTAAGATGGCTTCTCTGCCAATTTAACCCAGTCAGGGTGGTTCCTCGATTTATACATTTTTTCACCATAAATCGCCTTCAGCAGTTGAGTCATCCTCCCCATCTGCCAAAAAAAGCACAAGATAAGAATAACACACATCACGGATCAAAAGTTGATATTCAAACGTACAAAAAAAAGTTGTTCTCAAACGTCTAAACAATCCCTTTTTTAAGTGCACGTGAGAAAAATGCAGTTCTGTCGCGCATATGTTGAAGTGCACTACATAAACAATTGCAGTTTATAAAAAAATGCAGTAGAAACACAAAAAAAAGCTTTACGCTTGGCAAAGAAAAAAAACATACCACTTCAGTGCAATCTGCGTGGTAGTCAGTCCTGCGCCAACTTGTCGTGACATCACGATGGCCAGTGTACTTCCTACGGTCATGGATATCAAGGGTCTGGTGATGCTGGTTCATCGGGTATAAGGAATAATGACCATCCTTGAATCGCGGCATCCTAATCTGTTCACATAAAAATGAAATGAAAAGTTCTTTCGACACGTACCACCAGGACCACTGTTCCAAAAATAACTATAAAAAGAAATGCAACAAACCAGGAAAAATAAATGACAAAAAACAATGAACTTACCAGTTTTGCATCCAACAGGCTTGCGCCGTCGCTCACAAAAAATTTGAACTGGTTAACTGCATCTTCTAAAACAAACGAGCTATGCACAACTGGCAACACAGGATTTCCGTCATTATCTCTCGCCACAGAGGTTTCCATTTGAAGAACGTACTGCACACAAAAAAGAACAAAAAAGGACATGAAAAAAAAGAATAAACAATGCAAGCAGACATGGACATGAAAAAGCCAGTGCAGTAGGAAAGAATGACAGCAAACGTTTACCATGATAAATAAAGGTGAAAGTAGCACACGTTCACCGGATTGATAAGCTAAACCCAATTCAGGGTCTTGCTTCCAGTACTTGATGACAAAATCCATGATATACGAATCCATTAAAGCTCCTTTGCCAAATGTATCATAGATATAGTCGATATTGTAAGTATCAACATCACCAAAAGGACCATGTACCATAAAGAACGCGTTCCTGCAGTAAACATACACAGATGGGATCAATAAAATTAGATTTAAAATAAAACACACAGAAAGCATGAAAGGGCACACACATCACATAAAACTTACTCGCGGTATTTGGTTACAAAATCTTTGCTGAGAACAAGATCCTTTATTTTAATCGCCTCATCAATATATCTGAACCTCGGAGGCTTCAATTTCTCTATAGAGCATCTCAACTTAAAAGCCCTCTCACCTGCCCTCTTGTTCGAAAATACTTCAACCTCATCCAAAGGAGGACGATTAATTGTTGCATGTCAGGACCCCGACTCGATGTCACATCGATCTAGCCGGTAACACCTCATATCACTTTGCGGCCTCACGCACGGTATG